AACCCCTGGCCATGGTACATACCTAGGTTGTGGGTTCTATCCCCAGCTACAGCGCATGTGGGAGGCAACAGATCGATGTTTCTCTCTCACCTCAATGTTTTTCTCTCCCCCCACCCAACTTTCTCTCTCTAAAATCAATAAACATATACTCAGGTGAAGATTAAAAAAGAAAAAAAAGATAGCTCTTCAACAAACTCCTATTATACTAACTAGGTATAAAGTACTGTGAGAGATAAAGACGATGAATTAGCCATAAAACCTTTATAAAGATGCTTTTAGTCTATTAGAAGACAGTTAGTATAATGAACAAAAAGAACAAAAAATCTGGTATTTTAAATAATTTCTAATAAAGTAGCTTCATGTTTTAACATGCAAAGTTCTCTAACACAGATCAATCAACGAAAAAGATAAGCTACAGAAAACCGTAAACACTATATCATTTATGAAAAAAGAAATAAACATCCTCATACAAATATGTAATTCTATACTGTACAAATATGAAAAATGTATGATTATGCATAAAGGTCTGAAAAGATCTATACCCAACCGAAAATAGTGGTTATTTTTTTTTAAAGGAACTGAAATTGGAGATGGTAGTCAAAGGGACTTAAACTTTACTAGTATTACTTGCTGCTTTGTATAATTTTAAAAAATGAAGTCTTATTAATCAAATAATGGGCATAACATTATATGCAGGTGATTATGTATCAAAATTCTTCTTTGTTTTCAGTAATACCCACACAAGATTCATAATTCCACTTATCAAGAAAAACATGAGAAGGGCAAATAACCCCACTAACAACTGGTAAATTGTAATTCATAATCAAAATTACAACCTCATTAATGTTTATTCGATCTGCTACCCAATGGTGCCACTTATTATTTTAGTAAGTGATACATGGCTGGGGGGGTGGGGGGTATTAGGGGACCAAATAGTAATGGGGAAAAAATACAATCAAGATTCAATTTGTCCTTACAGGCAAGAAGGGGCTGGAAAGAGGTATTCCAAGTCATGAAATCCAAAGACCTACAACCAAGATTGCTCTATCCAGCAAAACTTTCATTTAGAATGGAAGGACAGATAAAGTGCTTCTCAGATAAGGTCAAATTCAAGGAGTTCATCATCACCAAGCCCTTATTATATGAGACGTTAAAGGGACTTATCTAAGAAAAAGAAGTTAAAAAAACATGAACAGTGAAAGGACAACAAACTCACAGTTATTAACAACCACACCTAAAACAAAAGCAAACTAAAAGGACAGCTAGATCAGGAGTGGAAACATAGAAATGAAGATCTCAAGGAGGGTTAGCAACAGGGGAGTGGGAGGAGGAGACGGGGGGAGAAGGTACAGAAAATAAGTAGCATAGACAGTAGATAGAAAATAGATGGGGGGGGGCAAGAATAGTATGGGAAATACAGAATCTAAAGAACTTGAGACACATGGTCATAAACTAAAGGGGGGGTAATGGTGGGGATGGGGGGGTAGGGTGGAGGGGAATGAAGGGGGGGAATAGAACAACTGTAACAGCATAATCAGTAAAAAATAAATTTTAAAAAAAGATTCAATTTGTTAAAAAAGTGACACACAGAGGAGACTAAAAGAGAAGCAAAGGGAGTAAGAAAGACTAGGAAAGCGAAAAGTGAGATGAAGCATGTGAAAGTGAAAAACCACTGAAAAGTAGAAAGGAAAAAAGAGAAGGTGCTGTAAAACTAAAATGCTGAAGGAATATTTAAAATTTAACAGACACTCCTTGATTGGTGAGGCTCAGTTGATGGGGCATCGTCTGGCAAAGTGAAAGGTTGCTGGTTTGATTTCCAGTCAGGCCACATGGTTGGATAACTCGTTTTGACCTTGTTCAGGCACTTATGATGCTTCTCTCTCACATCAATGTTTCTCTGTCGCTCTCTCTTCCACCCTTCCCAAACTACTCTAAAAATAAGTAAAATCTTTAAGAAAAATTTAACAGGTACTGACATATAGAAATCATTATTCTCTGACATTTATTGCATGAGAGTCAAGAGATAAAATACATACCAGTTATGACACTGGTATAAAATATACTTGATAAAACCAAAACTATGTCTAAATTTAAATGGACACTCAATTTTTATTAAAAGAAAGTACAGCTGTCTATATTGGCTTTTTAAGCCAGCTGATCAAAGTTTGATCCAAAAAGAGATGCCCCAACAGCATGTTAACTCTCCATACTTTTGTGTACTTTAGCCAACTTTTCATGCCTTGGGATACAACTTGCCAAGGGAAAACTTCCCTATGATTTACCATCAAATGTAGTTAACACCTGTCTTGGGATTTTCAAAATACTAGCTTTCAAAAAGGCATTAGTTGGAAGGTAGATGGAAAATTAAGCCTAAGCCTGTGTAAGCATTCAAAAAATGATGAGGACTTTTATTATAATTAGTAAAAATAATTTGCACCCAGCAAAGTATGTGAAGAGTTAGGAGGCTTTAATCATCAGGAATCAGTGCCTTTTTCTACCTAATTTAAATAAGAGAAATAAAATTTAAAACTTTTTGACTCTAAACTGTGAACGGTTTGATGAGGATGAAAATGGTTTTGGAATCTGATATAAAAGGCATGTTGTTCCATTCACTATGGCAAGATCAAAGTGGTCCAGTCTCAGTTCTGCAATACTGTGGCAAGTTGTTTTGGTGCTCTGGGCCTCAGTCTCCTAACTTGCAAACTCAGGGAGGTTCAACTTGCAAGGGCTGTAAAGGATCTTCCAGCTTTAAAATCCTATACTCAATTTTACGCCACCTTCCAACTGTAACAAAAAAAGAGTATTCTTCCCCAAAAAACATATAATAAAAAGTATGCTTTACTGAGCACACACTAAGTGTCACCTCTATTTCTTATTTCACTTAATCCTCGTTATACCAATAAGAGCAGGCATTTTCCTTCTTTTTACTTATAGGGTATTGGCCATCTTTTACCTGTCCAATCCAGTTAGGGGTGGAAGACAAGAATTCAAATCAAGGTCTAACTCCAAAGGAAGTTGTAGTAAACCACATTTTAAAAGTCAGTGCCCCAAACAAAAGCAAATACCACAGATAAAGAAAAAAGACAAGCTGAAGAGGTGGGTGGTGACTGTGACTATGGTAATAAGGGGAGGCATGATCTTCTAACAAGGGCAGCTCAGTTGCCTTGTAGCCATGTGGGAACTAACAAGAGAAGCCAAATATCAGTTGCACATTTCCCATTAGTGTGGGAAATCTCCTGATTTTCAAATGAAGGAAAAAAGATTCACCGTCTTTAAACTTCTGCTTTAAACAGTTCTAACCCAGATCTGTGAGGTTACTTTTAATATTACATAAATTTACAAAATTCCCAGATGACTTTTAAACTATGGGCACCAGCAATAAAGCCTAGGCTGTGAATAAAGCAAACCTTGGTTGAACCCTGGTTCTATTACTAGCAGTGTGACCTTGGCCAAGTTACTTCACCTCTCTCAACCTCAATTTTTCATTTGTAAAGTGAGGTTTCTATCATCTATCTGACAGGGTGGTTAGGGATTAAAGGAGAACGTGTATTTAAGAATTCATCACAGTTCCTAGCACAAGGTCAGAGCTTGGCAATTAAAGTTATTATTACCCTTCAGGATCCCAGGAATACAGAACATGGTATTTATGTTCAGAGACATTCCAGTTATGTGTATGAATACTACCCAAAGTTTGCCTTTATAATGTCATACTTTGTCACTTTTCTGTAGACCTAACATAAAATGTTTATTTTTGAAAAGTCATATACACTAACTTGTAATAGACACTAACCAAAAGTCACAAAATTTATCATAAACCCAAAATTGAACCATGTATCAGACTGTTTTCAGTGGTTAAGAATTTTTCTAACGTGATGCCGAAAATCCTGTTACCACGAATTCAGACTCTAAATGGGGTGAGTGGAAGGGAAAGAGAGGGATGTGTCCTGCAAAGTAGTCTAAGAGCTAAAGATCCCTGCAACGTCAAAGTAGTTTCCAAATGTCATATATTTGCGTATGCCCGTAAAACGGGGATCCGAACTGATAACACCTGACAGAAGACCGTCCTCCAGTTGATGGGACAGGAGCAGGTGGCTCTGTGCCCTAAACTATCTTTTTATTCTTAGCCACACGCTCTCCTTAACAGCTGGGTTTTAAACCCAGTCTTCCCCAATGCCCCATTCCAGACCGCGAGAGAGGGAGAACTTCGGGCTCTTCTCCGCCAGTGGACACTCGCAAAAGAGAAGGGAGAGGCCCGTGCCTTCTAGGGGCGTGGGAGATTGGTCAGGCCACCTCTGCCCCGTATCAACCCCTTCCCGGGCGGTACCATCCCCAGACTACCCTCTTCGCGAGGCCTGCGGAACTTGGGGACGCGGATGCAGTCAGCAGGGCCGAGCCGCCGTGGTGGGGACTGTGCTGGGGGCGTAAGGAAATAACTCGAGGGTCTCAGGAGAAACAGGCAGGCAAAGGGACAGGTAGCATGTGGCCCCACGGTGGGGTGCCGGAGTCCTCCGTCCCCCTTTCTGCCCCGACCCTTCCCAAGTCCCGGACCGGCCGCTCCTCTCACCGTCTCGGCTTCTGTGTGCTGTGGTCCGGCACTCTGACCCCCCATTACCCCGCGGAGGAAATTCATCTTGTTGTTGAGCGACCGGCTCTACCAGCCCCTTCGGGAAAGAAAGAATAACTTCCCCTGCCCTCCGCAGGGACTGACCCTAGATCTTGCACTTCACACTCGGCGGCCGCCGTCACCACCTCCTACTCGGCGGCCGCTCCAGCCCCCTAAGCCCGGAAACACTAGCAGTCGAGATGCGCAGGCGCGAATACGTGGCATTTACGTGGCGGCTCGGAGGGCGAAGGTAAAGGGAGAGAGCAGTAGAGAAGAAGGTTCGCTCAAGCCCCGCCCACTGCTCAGGCACCGCCTCCTTCCGCAGGGACACGCCTCCTACACCCTTCCCTCGCAGACAGCTCTGGCTGACCCTAGTCACCCACGTGGTCGAAGCCCAGCCCTGCAGGCTAGAAACGATCCGGGTAGAGTGTGTGTTTTGGCTCGCCGGCTGTTAGGTTGTCGCCGAGCAGGACATACTGCAACCTGTCAAATCTCGGGTCGTATTTCGTTGAGTCGAAAGTGAAATTTTCCTTCGGCCGACGTGACAGGTAAGGAATCTCGGACGCTGGGAGGGTTCATTTGGTTTTGTGGTTAGCACTACGAGCTGTGGCCTTCGGATCCCCCTAAATTGTATTTCTTTACGGGGCTTTGTTTGGTGATAAAAAGGATGCTAGAGCCCCCACATTCCACTGCCACAGGAGGGCGCACTTCTCAGATCTTGCTCTACAATCCCGCTGAAAGGAATTTCTAGATCTTAACACCAAGGTACACTGCTATTGCCAACTGGTGTGAGGAGACCAATCGAACTCTGCATTTAGCTTACTACAGAAAATACATTGATCTGCGGTGTCAGCTTGACAACAAATAGCATAATGTTTTGTTATCAACTCGCAACCTCTGCATTTCAGTGGTTTTTTTATTGCTGAAAAATGTATTTTCAAATTGTATAACTTGTTCTTCTCAAAATGAGATTGCCAATTATGTATGTTTCTGGAGTAGTCTTGTAGATTTCTTGAGCATAAAAAGCACAGGGTCTAGTTAGCCAACTGATTCATGTGCCTCTTCACTAGGATGCCTCACAGGTTTCAGATTCCCCAGATTCCCCTAAAGAAAAAAATCAATATGATTCCTGTGCCCTACCACGATCAATAGTACCACACTAGCCAAATAGTTGCCTAAGCTAGAAGGAAAAACCTGGGAAGACAAACTCTGGATTTCACCCCTACTGTCTAGTTCTGTTGTGTCTATAGAATACAGTATTCCTGCAATAGGTCGAATCTTCTCTGCCTCTGAAATAGTTTATGTTGTCATCATTTTTCACCAAGATTATGGCAATAGCTTCCTAACTAGTTTGTCATTATTAAAGCCCTGACTTCCCTAGCAGTGACAAAACATCTGTCCATAACAGTCCTCATATATAAAATCCTCCAGTGGTTGCCCATTCTCTTCATAATAAAATCCAAACTCCTTAGTTTGGTATACAGGCCTGTTATGTTCTGGCTCCTGCTTATCCTTACAGCTCCTGCCTTCCTCACATATTCTGGTATATGCCCTTCCCCTTTCTCCTCTTCATCAGGGAAACTCCTGCTGAAGCCTTCACTCTGTCATCTTTGAAAGCTTTCCCTGAATTCTGTATATTGCACTTTGTAATTGTTAATATGTGGTAAACTCAATAAATGCTTATGTTAAGGGCAGGATTATATTTATTATTGTTATCTGTGGTTTAGCACGATCTCATAAGAGGTGGTATTGATGGATAAATGAAGAAAATATTAAAGGATATATAAACATTATGCTGAGGAGGAGGGTCCTTTGTTCATCTGTAGGATAGAATTGTAGATAACATATCACAAAGGCAATGGTAAAAGTTCCTTTTATAGTGTCAAGGTGTTAAGCCTGGATGACTTGGGTAATGGTGGGGGTCATACTGCCAAAAATACTGTGCACTAAACATTGTCCACTGCTTTAAAACTAGACACCTGACATTTTGCATCAGACATTTTCCATGGGGGCATTTTGTTGCATCCTAAAAAAAGTAACCAACCGATGCTCAGCTTTTTTAATGTGTGCAAACAACTTAACCCAGTCCCTGAGCCACATCCCTCCCTGAGCCTCTCCTCGCCTCTTCCCCATGCCCTATTCTACCCCATTATCAGGGATAAAGCTCTAAGATGGAGTGGAGCTCATTGGATGTCTACTACATGTATTATTTGGTAATAAAAAGCAGTGCTTTTACATTTTAGCAAAATTGTTTAGGGCACTGAACTTTTCAAAATGTCCTGCTTTTGTTTTAAGTTTTGGTGAGTATAGTAGGTCACAATGAGTTTTCCCTTCATTTGACCTCTTTTCTTCCTTAACAGTATCACTGGGCAGGAGGGATGGACATTTGGATGCAGAGGAGATGAGGGTGGAGCCCCCAGACTCCTTCCTGACCTCTCAGTCTTGCCTATGTCTGGGAAAGGCTGGAGCTGCCCGCTACTTCTAGGCTCAAGAGGAGAAAGAGACTGTACAGTGGCTAATTTGTCCCTCATCTGGGGTCTGAAAGGGGAGCAGAGTCATCATCATGTGGAGCAGCCACGAAATAGACTCCTTATTTAAGAGAAAGGGACATGTGAATTCACTTCCACTGATTTTATAGAGAAAAGTCAGGGCCTGTGTCCTGTTTCTGTTTGTATTCTTTAATCATCTAGTGTAATTCCTTTATTATGATAGTTGCTTAAGAACCATTTCTTAAATCAAGGAGAAAAAAACATGAAAAAATTGTTACTGTCTGACTTACACCATTATCCTTCTGACTTTCATAAATCTAAACACTTAGGATAAGAATGGCATGAGTCATTAAAATACACATAATCCAAAATTTTAACTTTGGTAAATAAAAAGGATTTTTCTTTTACTAAAGCAAACCTGACAACAGAGCAACTAACGAAAGTCATTGGTTTTAAATTCATTTTTTTAAAGATTTTATTCATTTATTTTTAGAGGGGAAGGGGAGGAGAGAGGGAGAAAAATATCAATGTGTGGTTGCCTCTCATGTGTCCCCCACTGGGAACTGGCCTGCAACCCAGGCATGTGCCCTGCTGGGAATCGAACCGCAATCATCTGCTTCGCAGGCCCATGCTCAATCCACTGAGCTACACCAGCCAGGGCTAAATTCATTTTTAAAATTGTTTCCTTACTATCCCGCAGTTCAGTGGCCCATTTTCCCCATCCTTTCTTATTTTTTAGTAACATACTCAACAGTAACAATGGCAAGATTTCATTTTTTATGGCTAAATCATATTCCATTATATATATGCATCGCTTCTTTATCCATTCATCTATTGATGGACACTTAGGTTGCTCCTGTACCTTAGCTGTTGTAAATAATGCTGCGATGAACATACGGATGCATAGTCATGTGTCTTTTCAAAATAGTGTTTTGTATTTCTTCAGATCAATACCCAGAAGTGGAATTCCTTGGTCCTTCTTTGTCTCTTTTTATAGCTTTTTTTTTTAAGTAAAAGACTTTTTATTCCACGTTCATCTGTGTAATTTCTCCCAAAACCTAGTAGGCTTATTAGCTCTGATTGCAATTAGTTCCATGTGCTAGTAGCGATACTCAAAGTTTATCTTACATGTAATTTTCAACCTGATGTGTTTTGTTTATAGCTTTTGTTTTAAAGTCTGTTTTGTCTGGTGTAAGTATTTGATACACAGACTTTTTTTTCTTCATTTCATTTTCAGGAAATACCCTTTTTCATCCCTTTACTTTCACTATGTCTGTGTCTTTCCATCTGAAGTGAGTCTCTTACAAATACCCACATACAGGTTTTTAAAGACTAGTTACTAGGAAATCGGTGTCTAAAACTATTGTTGATACAGTTATGCATTGCTATCCATTAAGCTATTAAGCATAGCAAGATTGTTTGTGATGGCTGTTACAAACATTTTGCAAAACCAACTAATGAAGAGTCTGATTAATTAATAATTGAAGACTTTTTTTGGCCCTGGCTGGTATGGTTAAGCGAACAACACATTGCAAAATAAGTCAATAATGATGAAGCAGCAATTGAAATTCATAGCCAATCCATAATAATAACATTGAACACATATTTGTGCTTCATGTGTACTAGTCTCTATTTATTCAAAGTACTCTACATAAAATAATTTACTTAATCCTCACAGCCTTATGAGATAGGTAGTGTTATCAATTCCATTATGCAGGTGGCGAAAAAGGCACTCAGAGTAACCTGGCCAGTGTCATACAGTCAGGAAGTAGCAGAGCTGGGTCATAAATTGGCAGTTTGACCCCAAGTCTTGATTCTCTTGTACTTTTTTGTCTAGCCTCTCTAGCCCTTTGGAGGTCACAGCTGATCTGAGGTACAAACAAACTCTTTTCTTAAATATCGCTACATATACTGAGTGCGTAGGTTCAAGGTCATGACTAGCTGCACCTTTGTACATGACTAACGTTAAGCCATAACGTTTAAGCCGTGATTTTGGTTACAACACCTGACATAATAGGAGTAAGGAGTTGGCACTGTGAACCAAATGACAGGCACAAACAATGTGGCCAGGAACATCAGAAGATGGCCTGTGTTTATATTCTACACCATTTTGAATATTGCAGGAGTAAATGCTCAGACTATTTATATGCTGAATAGCAATGTGAAATAAGGCACAGAATATTTATTAGAAACCTCGTAACGCAGTTCGTGTCAGAACAAATAAAAAGGTGTTTGGAAATCTCTACAGATGTGTATAAGCCTTTACACCTGATACTTCACCAATTTCAAACACAAATTGAAGGAAATTTTAATGACATAATACAGCTCCCTCGACAAGCAGAAAAAGAAAAGGATGTGTTAGGTACTATGCATCCAGAATGAGTCACTTATCAAAATATTTTTGCAAGTGTTGTAAAAAGTATTTATGCCTTGAGCATAGCAAGATTGTGATGACTGTTACAAACGTTTTGCAAAACCAACCATTGAAGAGTGTGATTAATTAATAATTAAAGACTTTTTTTGGCCCTGGCTGGTGTGGCTGTGAACCAAAGGGTCACTAGTTCAATTCCCAGTCAGGGCACATGCCTGGGTCTGGACCAGGTTCTCAGTGGGGGGCATGTGAGAGGCAACCACACATTGATGCTTCTCTCCCTCTCTTTCTCCCTCCCTTCTCCTCTCTCTAAAAAGAAATAAAATCTTTTTTTACAAAAAGAGAGTTTTTGGTTGAGTTCTTTTAGCAATATCCATGTTCCATTATTTGAAAAGAAAAATCTTTATTCTTCTTTTTAAAAATATTTTATTTTTATTTATTTTTAGAGAGGAAGGGAGTAAGAATGAGACAAGGAAAGAAACATCAGTGTGTGGTTGCCTCTCACATGCCCCCTACTGGGAACCTGGTCTGCAACCCAGGCATGTGCCCTGACTGGGAATCGAACTGGTGACCCTTTGCTTCACAGGCTGGTGCTCAATCCACTGAGCCACACCAGACAGGGCATATTCTTTATGTTTTTATATTTCTTTGTTTAATAATTTCTAGGCTGTAAGTGAAAATGAATAAA